TTCAAAATGTGTATGAATTCATATTGAGGTCTAAATTAAATGGCTTCATCTGTCATTTCTTGTAATTAAAGATGTGGATGCAGCAGACATTAAATTGCTTGTAGGATTAGCATCTTTATTTAGGAAATTCATTGTCCTTCATAGCCTTTAGATAGATTGGGAGTAACAGAAAGCTGTAACTGCTAACTCTGTGTATCTCTTTCCCATATTGCAAAAGAACTGTGGAACTTCTTTGATTGCACAGCTTTGACTGAAATCCATTCAGAGACTTCCTTGTCTCCTTTGCCTCACTGACTGTATGTTCATCTATTACCTGTTTTATTTTTATGCTGACATATTCATCCGTCCAGCCTGAAGTAAAATGGTTTATCTTTAGTCATTACATGAATTCTTATAGCAATAACATTCAGAGGAGCCTTTTACTGAGACATAAACTGTAGGCTAAAATGTCACAGAATTTTATTAGACAATCTAAACTTAATTGCAGATAAATTGATGCTCTCATAAAAGATGATGCGAAATTTCTATTAACTCCAACATATGGTAACTATTCATAGGAGGACAGCAAATAAAGATATCACTAAATGTAGCTTTAAAACAATCAAATTAGGAAAGTGCTTTATTTATTTTGAATGAAAACTCCTAATATATCAATTAATTTTAGTATTCCATAAGATATGAAAATACACCCATGTTGCCAAACTATTCTGAACTTTTACTTATACCAAATCTGAGAAATGCCAAAGGCTGAAATAGAGAGCTGCAAGGTTTACTTAACAAGTAATCTTTCAACCTCAGTAACAAACTATGACACAAATAGATGTCACTGCTTTGGCATTTCAGCTCATGGCTGATATTCAGCACTGTCACATTCATGATTGCTGAAGTTTGAATTTTCTATATGGAATAAAATGGCCTTTGCTCATAATATGGCCCAGCAAAAGTTGGACAGAGAGCCATGGCTTTTGACTTCTGTTACCAGTTTTGTCACCAAGCTGTCAGATAATCATGTCAGCCGTGTAAGTCTTAAACACCTTTTTCTTCTTTCACTGAAGTTCATCTGAGATTTAACTAATAAATTAATCCTACAGTGAATGATACTTGTAGGTAAAAGATACTGCAGATAGCAAAGTTTAATTATTTGTGTCATTACTGACCCAGTCTTTAGAAATGTTAGCAATAAGCCCTAACAATTAAATGAACTGTATTCATTACAATGCAAACTTTATTCCGTCTTCTTCTCATGCTGACAAGTTCTGAACCATCCCACTTTGTCTTGATACACAGTTTAAATGTTCCATGGTGACTTTAAAGCTGTTCCAAGTTAATCACACACTGCTAGAGATCACTGCACACAGACAAGTCCTGTGCTAGCAATTCTGACAGTTCATAGACAATTATATTTTGTGTTCGCCTCAGCTAACATATCGACTGAATAAAGAGTGAGAACCAAAAACAGCTCCAAATGCTGCACTCAGTAGTTAGTTAAGTAATTTCTTTCTTTTTTCATTTCATTGCCAAAAATCAAGATGGTTTCTGAAGACATTTTAAATCTATATAGACACTTGGCTATAGTACAGTTGTTCTACTGCAACTGTAATATGTAAGGGAGGACTGGAAAAGATCCAGGGAGCTTGTTTTCACACCAAAGATCCTTTATAGGATTTGAAATCATACTAGAAGGGCAGTGCGCCCCGGAGAGTCAAACACCATGATGTGAGTTCCCATTTGACACTGTGAGTAATTTGATGCTGCATAATATTTACATAGCCACCTCTTCAGGAGTTGAGATTAAAGCATTCTAATTATATCATATACGTATGCAACAGAGCTGAACATCCCAACCAGGCTGTTATCGTGACATACTTCCAGTTTTCTCTTTGCTTGCCCAACTAGACAAAAGACACTTTTAAAGGCTTAATAGAGTCCACCAGTAATGTCTCTACGGAAAAATAATCTCTTAGAGACTGCTACTTAAGCAGAGTGCCATCTTCGCTCACCCAGAGAGGACTTAACAAGTCTTAGCTAGAAATACCCTGCAGTGCCAATGATATGTATAGTATTCAGGGCTGTTGTAATCATACAGAACAGGACAAAAAAATAGGACATCAATGAAAAAGAGTACTAAAAAACTGCGGTTACTGGCATATCATATTGTAAACCAAAGCATGTGGATTGCAAGTACTGTGGGTTTTTGTTAGAAAACAATAAGTGTGAAAGGCAAAAAGCAAACAAATTTGCAACTTAATGAAGGATGCTGGATTTGTATCTTCAGTACTTATCCTGGGGAAGAGGATTGTACTCCCTCAGGCAGATGGTCAGTGCAGATAGACACTGCAGTTGCCACCTAAGAGGTTTATTCCCTTCACTCCACAGGGAATTGGATTCCTGCTGCAAGAGGCCAAAAATCCACTAATTCTCTATTCACTTCAGTATATTCCTGTGTTGTGCCATGTATCATACTCAAGTCTATAAGTTTCTGTCAAACCTGTCGAGGAATGCAATCGCTCTGGAGTTTCTCGAGGAAAGCTTTTGCAGCTTTTAAGAAGCATTTCATTGACTACATTTTTTGTTCTCATTAGTACAAATTAAGAACCTAGACATTATGTGTCATTGTGGAGAATGCTAAAAGAGTATTATAAGTATCTTTTAAAACTTTAGCTTTGATTTTCTTAAACAATGCCTTCCACATAATGTGTGATGAAATATTATATATTCTGGAATGTAACGCTCAGATATCATATTACTTCTATTCACACTTGGTGAAAATGGATAAGACTGTTTCTTGGACTGTGTTCTTCTATTTTCCCATTTTGCTACATAGATAACAACCTTCAAAAAAATAAACAGGCTTCACAGAATTAATTCTATTTCAGCAGCCTAATCCTCCAAGTTTAGTAGAAAGCAACAGGAAAGTGAAATATTTGCATTTCAGTTTCCATGTCAAGGCTGTACTCAGTTGTGAATAACAGTCAGAATCCTGGGGGTACACGCTATCCCTTCCAGTGCCTCACAGCAGCTCTTCTTTATTTCACTTCTCTTATCCTTTCTGGTATTTTAAAAGCAGAACATTAGAGCCCTGCTCCCCAAATAACCAAGATTTGAAAGGTCCTGCATTAGTTATTGATACTGGAAAGTGAAGTAGTGGATAGTTCCACTCTAGTCTGTCTTGATAAATTTGCTGTGATAGGTGAGTTAATAGAAAATAAATAGAGCAGATCTAGTAATAAATTTCTATCCTGACAGATTTGACATCTCTCCACCCATGTACTGAAGACAAGTTGAGAGATGTGTGTATGATTAACATCACCTAAATGGGTGGTGTCTGAATTAGCATACTGTGCTGTAGGCACTTGGAAGGTTCTATATTCTATAGTAATACCTAACAATTAAATTGCACTTTACATTTTGAAAGTACTTTGGTGATGAGAGATTAGGTTCCATTAAAAATAGTTACAGATCCATATGTGGGAGAGAAAAAAAATGCACAATGCTGACTGTAAGCATCGAGGCACTAGTGGAACAGAAACAACAGGAAGGTGCTGCAGCATTTCATAACAAGGTAGTTTTGCTTGTAAAGACTGTTTTATGAGAGTTGACTGCTGAGAACAGTAACGAACTGTAGGAAGAATGACTTATTCTGTCCAGTTTGAGGTTCAGTTTCTCCAAGTGTTTATGCACAGACCTAGATTACCTTCATATAGAGGTCTATTCCCAGTTGATTTCCATAAACATGAAAATGGATCAAGGACAGAATGAAATGTGGATTCTCTTCTTCCCATATACGTACTGAGTGGAACAAATTGAATTGCCAATATAGCCTAGCAGAAACATGCAGTACATCAGTACTTTCTCCTTTCCTATTAATTTTCTTTGTATTCCTTTTGTGCAAAATGTAATTTTTTGATTGCTTCCCTGTGTGGCCACACTCGGTTTCTGACACGTGTTGCTATACAGTGGTCCAACACGAGCAAGGAGAATCCAGCTGACCTTACATTAAACATAAGAGAAAGGTAAAAAGTGCTGTCAAAGGCATAAAGTTAGCTGACAGACACAATAAATCAAATTTGGGGTAGGTATTGTTCATAACCAAAACAGAAATATATTTGAAAAATAAAAAAAAGCGATTTTAATCATTCCTTTTTCCGTGGAAACATTTCAGGGTGGCAAACACCATTTCACAGTATACGATGTGATATTAACCCTGAAAAAAAATGAAGCAGTGGAGAAATCTTGAGTGATTTTAAATATTTGCTGAGAATCAATGGCTCTCTGGCTCTCACTGCACTCAGTAAAGCTGCAGGAGCTCAGCACTTCATTATGCTTGAGATCAACAGCCTCTAATCCAAACCTCTTTCTGACACAGTTTTAATAGAGTTGGTTTCTCTAATAGATGAATGTATTGCATTCTTTTTCCTTCAACATTGTTTCCTATTTTTTTCTTCAAAGAAACTTTTTATAAATTTACAAGCAAGGCAATGAAGCCCTTTGATCTCTACAATGTACGTACTATTTATACCTGAGATGGTGAAGCTGGTTTCGTCTAATTATTTTTGACATCTTGCAAATATTTGCAAAATTCTTCATGGGGATTAAAAAGAATCACAGCGTTCTATCTCTCTGTGACAAAAAAAAAAGTGTTCTCAAAAGGCAAAACAATTGTTTATCTGTTTACTCTAAGATCCTAGACATTTATCTTCCAACATGGCACATTTTCTCTCAGGTAGCAAATGAATGCATCCCATTTTTAGAGGATCGCTAAGTTTCCACAAATAGAACTGTTCTTTGCAAGATCAAAATAAAATAGTGCTTAAAATGGAGTGCGTTTGAAAAGCATCAATTCCACCTTTTCAGAATGTGTGACTTCGACATTGTGGAAGCTGTTCTATGCAGAAGCTGCCATTTTAGGGTACAGTATATTTGAGCTTCTGCTAAACCACTGACTAGAACAGAACTGCTGAGGCAGTCACTAATTTGCTCATCTCTGTTGGCTTACACAGGCTTGGAGAAGCTATGAGGTGCATGGCCTCCATCAGGACACGCTGCCAAAGCCAGATAGTAATAAAACAACAACAAGTTTCATGTTAGTTGCCAAAACATTACTTTTTAAACTATTGCACCGGGTGGAAAATTTGTCTCAGAAGTGATTTTGCACTGCAATTTTGCTGCCTTTCCTAAAACTTCTGTGTTGTTCGTGGAAGTGCAAGAAGCACCATCAAATTAAGATATATAACTTCTTTAATAGTCACGTCTTATGGACTTCAGTTTCTCAGTAAATTGTTTCAGTGTCTTAGAAAGGTTCTACTATGGACATGACAGGATTCACACAGCACAAGCACTGCAGTAAATTTATATTAAGAATGTCACTGCGTCCCTCATTTTGTGTCCTTTCCAAGGTGAACAGAAGTGTCATCAGCAAGTGGTTTGTGAAGGTGTCTGTGAGTATTGGCAGGTAAATAATTTTTTTAAACCAAAGTTAACAGTCCATGTAATCACGTGCATCAATCTGATTTCTGTAGAGGCAGCTGTACTGCTTAGTCTGCTCGGGTAAGAAGTCCAAAACACACAAGATAAATGGGAGCACAAGGCTGGCAAGGAGCACACTGAGAGCACTCCGTGAAGATGGAATACATGTGATAAGCTCTGAAAGTATGAGGTACAGAGGGGCTATGCTAGGTGTGTGCAAAAGGAGTGACAGATACAGGGGGCCTGCTGGTTTGTAGGTGGCTGTTTAGATCAATCTCTTGTTATTATTGGAAGAGCTATAATGTTCCTTTCTGAGTGAAAAAAAAAACAGCAAAGTGTTTGAGATGTTAAAGCTTTGTACAATAACTCAGTCTTGTATGCAAACAGCTTTCAGCTATCTGCTAAATCTGGATCTGGATAGATGCTTGTTTGATGCCATGGAGCCAATAGGACTGCCAGAACCAGAGCACTCAGGACCATATTCTGTAGGGTTCCTTTAGACCCTGACTATTGTTCATGTAACTCATTAAAGGGAAATCTCAGCATTATGGGTCTGTTCTACTGTTTTTAAAAGGCTGCTATAAACTTCACATAGATCCTGAGATTTCTCTGAAGGTGAGATGTTTGGGTACTGCACATCCAGGCAAATCCTACTTTTTCAGATGTAAAGCAGTTTTTTTACAAACACCTTCTGCATCGCTTCTTTCTACAAAAGCTTGAGGAAACTTCCATACTGGTATAAGAAGTTTTCTGTACGAGGCAAAATTGCTCTATGTTGGATTATAGGACTAAATAAGTCCCAGTGGCCTTCTAGCTATAGACAAGCTCTTCAAGTCTTTAAATATGTTTTTTACAATCAGTTGCATTAAAAAATACTATTTCAAGTCTCCTCCTAAACCCTGATGATTGCACCAAAGAACACCCACATTTTAGTTAAGATCCCTTGTGTTCTCCCATTGTGTGCCACCTTGTGTTAGTGTAGCCTTCATGTTATTCAGCCTCTTGGCCAAAGACCACTGGTATCTCGTGTCCTTTTGGTGGATTTAGACATCTCCCACGCCTTCTACAGTCAAAACGAAGGCTTGAAACTCTTAATACTACTTCGAGAATCTATTCCTCTGTACTTCAGATGACATTTTGCTGCACTGCCTTCAGCAGAACTGCAGTGCTATTTGTTCTCACAGCCAATCAAAGCTACAGTTTGTGTGGCTTTCACCAGTGAGTGATGGCCTAGTGCTGTCACTCTAAGGATGTATTGCTCTCTCAGAGTATTTACATCTTGAGCTGGACTGACAGGAAGATGAAAAGAAGGCTTGGGTGCTTGGCCAGCTTTTGTTTTATAATTTAAAAGAAGCTTTGTATTCATACACTGCATCCCTATTTCAGTGTGTCTCTATTTCATCCAGGAGCTGAAAAAATTTATAGCTCCCAGATCTTACATAATTTTTAAAGTAATGTTTAATAATCACCATCAAGACACTGATAAAGAGCTATTAGAGCTCTATTTCTTATTAACCATTTATAGTTTTAAATTGTATACTTCGGTAGGAGTGTAAACTAGGCAGAAGGACAAATTAGTTTTGCAATTTTGATTGCAAGCCATCCAGGTAAAATATTTCACATGATGGCAGAAGTCAGTAAAAATTTCTGCAGCTGCTTCTGTTTTCTGTTTGGAAGACAGGTAGTAAAATCACACTAGATTCAAGCTTTGTGAACATACATGTGAATTTAGCTACTTTTTGTAGCGTCTCCCACTGGTAAACTATCAAGAGACTGAAGATTGAGGAGGCCATTTTGAAAAGCATTGGTTTTATTTTATATATCAATGAAGAAAAGTCTGTAATCAATCATTAATTACTTGTACTGCAGCAGTACTCCAAGACACAAGCAGCTGCTCAGGTTCCAATACACTAGATGTGCTGTGAATGCACTGGAAGATGTAGTCCATTCAAAGAAAGGGTCGGTGTAAATAAAATAACTAAACTTTTCACTTTGTGATATATCAGCAACCGGCACATTTTTGAAAATGTTCCCCAAATGTTCTCCCTTGCACAGACCATACAAATGCAGCGAGTAGCAGACGGCACCCAGCAGGTGTCTGCACAAAATCTGCTCCTGGAGAGATTTCCAAAAGCGATTGCTCTGCCTTTACTTTTGATCTTTTCCCCAACCAAAAGCATGTTGTGTTTTTGTTTTATTCTATTCCCTCTCTTACTATTTCATCCTCAGCCACAAATGCATTCTACAGCATTTCTGCCCCTCATGTTTTTCAGTCTCAGTGAGATCTTTGAAATTTGACTGGCAAGGCTAAATACCTATTTTGCTGTTTAAACACCAATTACTTACAAGAATCTTTCATTCTTCAAGTAGTTCAGAATGTCTCAGGTGAGACTGAATATGAAGACAAGAGCACCAACACTCCGCTGACCTCCCGTTACTGAGTAGCTAATTTTATTACACACCTTATCAAATTAGGTAGCCTTTTGGAATTCAGAAATGTTGTCTTATGAATTGTTATAGATGCTGTGCCAGACCATCAGCTGATTAACATAAAGATATTGCTTACTAATAAAAATAAATATGGGTTTATTAAATTAAGTATTTACATAAAAACATATGTCTGATGGTATGCTTTAGGTGTGCCATCTGTCATGCTACCTTGTTAGCAAACACAAAGATGCTGCCAAAAAAAGTTTACTATCTGAAACGGATACAGAAAATATGGCAGTACTGTGGAAGTAAAGCTTGGACATACTGAAGGAAAATCAGGTGGTGAGTATTGTAGAACGACCACCTTTCTTCCACCTTTAATACTGCTGCAAAGCTCAGCTGCATGCCCATGTTTCTGTAATGAAGTTTGAGAGAGAATAACATGTACTTAAAGCTAGCTCAGGGATCAAACGTAACATTTAAACTTATTTTAAAAATCAGGTGTGTACAAGAAATGCTAAGTCATAGTTTGAACCAGTGATGAAGCACCTGATGGGAAGGCAGGGCCAACCCAGGAGAGCTCAGCTGTATGCAATGAATCTGAGTGACTAGAAGGGCTGGAGTCAAGATCCACCCCTTCCTGGACCTCATTTAAGGGTTGGCAGCAAAGGCAAGGATGTTTTGCTGGAGATTGTTGCCTGCTGAAGGTCTTCTGAAGATAAGCAACTTTATTTCTTTCTTTTATTGTGTCCGTGGTGGCTGCATTTGGGCTTATCCTTATTTGCTGTAGCTAAAGGCTTTGCCACACTACTATTGTCGCTGCATTTTTTCATCACATTATAGCAGTACAAGGTGGCATGGAAGTTCTTAATGCCTCATTCTTGATGATGGTGTTATTTTGCTTTGTCTTAGTGTTTTTGTGCTTGTCGTGGCAGTGAGTATTTAAACATTTTTGTTGAACTGCTGGATTAAGATGTATCATCTTAGTTTGTTTTAAATAGGTGATATAATTGCCAGAAGGATCTGAATAGTGTTTTTCCAAAAGAAAGAGAATGTGTAGTCTGTACAGGAAGGGATAAATGAAGAAGTAGTCCATGAGATTTCCTAGGAAGACCCGACTTGTGGTATGATTAAAGATGACAGTTCCAAGGATAGTAAGGGAGGTAACGTGTTCTAGATGACAGAGCACACAAAGAATTCTCTCATGCTTTTATGAATACTCATTTTTTTAATCCAAAAGGAATAGTCAGTCATCACTTTCTTCTACAGCTGACAGCTGGTTTGGTAACATAAGTTTGTGCTACTGCTTGGGGTTGCAAATTCTGGAAGCATTTCCTTCCTTTCTTGTTCAATCTGTGTGTGTGGCCTTTCCCCTATCAGTAGGGACTCCAGGGTGCTTTGCAAGTCCCCTCACCATTGCTGGAGACTGCCCAGCATGCTGTGGTTGGCTGCTCCTGTTTTGCCCAATTAGTGCCTCTCCATGCAGCATCTCCTGTCAATCACTGTCATGCCAGTGGTGTTGCTTCCAGCAATGCCAGCTCAACAAAGAGGAGACAAACAGTCTAATGGTTGCCAGCAGCTGAAGTAAAGCTGAGGTAGAATAATTGTTTCAAGTGTTTTAGGCATTTCTGAAATACTCACATACAAAAGAACAAATTGCTAGACAGGCACGAGAATGGCAAAATGGTGCCTGAGTTGAGCTCTTTGGTACTAGCTGCAGTTTGTTCCTGTTGCCAGCAGCAGGAAGGTTCACTAATTGAATGGAAAGCTTTAGGATTTGCCTCTATATTCTCTCTTTCCTGTAAGCCAGAGTCAGTCAAGAACAACACCTCCATAGCCGTGCCTGTCATGGTCCTCCTGTTCAGAAGTAACAGGCATGGACATGTCAGAGCCACACACTGGCCCACGGAGACTGCAGACCCTGATCTCTACCATCATGTGACTCGCAGGGATAAGCAACAGCTGCTTTACATTTAAAAGTCTGAAATGAGTCATTTTTGTGGGGAAGAAAAATAAATGAGCCTCTGAACAAACCCACCTGCAAGTACTACTGAGTGCTTCATGCAGAGTCTTGTTCCAAATGGCCTCTGGGCTTCATGCTATGCCATGAGAGAGATGCCACCTCTCCATCACTTTATTCACAGCTGATAACATTTCTGCAGCTTCACTGCACTATTTAACTTGTCA